GTAGACAGGGTCGAGGAAGGGCGTGGGCATGAGCGTGAGGGTCCGCGACCGCCCCGCCACGCTCGGCGCCACGGCCGCGAAGATGAGCGCGCGCAGCTTATCGAGCTCCGCGGTAGCGCAGCCCGTGACGGAGAAGCCGCGGGAGACGGACGGGACTTGGAGAGCGCCACGTTGAGGTCGACTTCCGTCAAGAGCGCCTTGAGCTTGAAGGCCGCCTCAGCCACCTCCTTCGTGACCCGCACTGCGCCGCCGAACCTGTGCAGCATGAGGTCATCCACGACCGCCGCCAGCTGCAACGTCGGGTGCTGCTCGACCAGCCTGTCCAGCGGCCCGATCAGCATCAGCTTGAGCAGGGTGGTGGCGAAGCCGTCTCCTGGCAGGATCGCCTGCCGAGCCTCGATCACGTCGGAGCGCGCGCTGCTCAGGGCGAGCACCCTAGGCGCGCAGTAAAGCTCCACCTGAAGCTTGAGCTGCCACAACGGGAAGCCAGTGCGCACCGCGGCGTCCAGCAACCAGTGGTGCCTGACCTGCTCGAAGGCCTTCAGCAGGTCGAGCAGGACGGCCGCCGCCACCCAGCGCTTCTCGTCGCCGCAGTCATGTCCACGCTGCGCGGCCCACTCGCCAATGGCAGCCTGGTACCAGACCGCTCGCTCGCAGCTGCGCCCCGCCGAAGCCCGCCAGTAGCTGCGCGCATTCTGCATCTCCCATCCGCGTGCGATGTCACGACGCAGCCGAGCTTGCACACGGGCCAGCACCATGATCAGCGCGATCGGTCTGACACCACCAAGCCTCTTCTGGATGAAGCAGATCTTGGTGGTCATCTCAGGCCAGGACGCGTGGAGCTCGATTGCCTCGATGGTGTCAGCGAGGACCTCGATCCCGTCGTCGCAGAGATCGTTGAGCTGCCTGGGCCGCACCGCGCAGAAGGAGGTGCCCGCGTTGGCGGGGAAAGTCAAGAGCACCTTTCGCAGCTGCGCCACCGTCGGCCGAGGCGGCCGCGCGCCAAGGTCCTTCGGCCAGCGCAGCGACACCTGCTCGCATGTTGTCCTCCACCATCCGCTCCAGGCAACCTCCAGGGCAGTGACCTCCGCGGCGAGGTCGGCGGGCTCGCAGAAGGGCGCGCGCGTCTCCGCGGTGCTGGTGTGCAGCATGGGGCTTTCCGCGAAGCCGATCGGCAAGCTAGCCGCCGCGTGGAGCCCGCCGCCACCGCCCGCAGCTTGCTTGGCGACCCACTGCTGGAACCTGGCCTTGCGCTCCGCCATGTCGCGCTCGGCCAGCTTCACGGCGGCGGCGTGGGCGCGCTCGCTCAGCTGCAGGACCGTGGTGGACGGGTCCAGGCAGTGAATGCCCAAGCTGTTGAGGAGCTGCCACCAAGAGCTCGCGACAAGCAGGTCGTGAGGCTCAGCCTCCGCGACACCCTTCACGGCCTTGGGCGCGGTCACCATCAGCCTGCGCAGACCTCGAAGCGCACGGACACGGCTGACGGGCTGCGCGACGGCGGCGACAAGCTGCAGCTCGCACGACACCCTGTAGAGCCAGGTAGCCTCGACCGAGACGTTGGGCCAGCGCGCGCCAACGACAGGCAGCTTGCGGACCCAGCGCGGCTGCACTGGCTGACCTCGCCCACGATACTTCTGGCCGTCCTCGCCCACCTGGTATATGTCGATCCAGTCGGTCTCGGCCTGCTCCAGGAACCGCTGCCAGGCAACGTTGATCTGGCCACGGATCTGCGTCATCTCCACGTCAGCGCAGGCCGCCTGCGACACATGGCCATCAGCAGCAGTAGCCCCTGAACCTCGCTCACACCCCCCAGCTAGAGTGGCGCGTTCTCCGCCTGCAGGTCGCTTTTGCAGGGGCCCACGAAGTCCAGAAACACCACCGCGTACAGGCCCATGTGCGCTCGCACCACCGGCAGCGGGCGCGGGCCCCGTAGCTCCTCGAGGCGCGCCGCTCGGGGGAGCAGCGTCATTAAGGGCAGCGTCCGCAAGCCCATCCTGAGGAGCCGTCGACACACCTTGCCGAGGCACAGAGCGCAGGAGTCGCCGTACCTCCTCGCCGACGCTGGCCCACGGCACGTGGTAGTCCCAGCTCGCGCAGCCAGCAGGCCTCTCCTACGGGAAGCGCCTGGGCACGTCCATCACGCGGATGTAGGGGCTCTGGCGCGCCGCCTCGAGCTCCAGCACCACAGGCCGATGCGGCCATACGGGCGATCCGCTGATCACCTCCACGTTGAGCAGCCGCAGGCCGCTCGACAATGAACATGTCGATGGAGCGCATCGACTGCGCGCAGGTCGGCTCGAGCGCGTCAACGCAGGTGCCGTCGAAGAAGCGCAGGACTCCGCATGTCTCCAGCTCGGCCTTGGTGCAGTTGAAGTCACCACCGATCACGCACGGCCTGCCGTACTGCTTCAGCCTGCACGCCACGTCGCGCAGCGCCTCGTAGTTGAATGCGTTCACCCCCGCGCCGCTCTCCAAGTACACGTTCCACACTACGACTCCACCAAGAGTCAGCCCAGCGTGGTGGAGCAGCTGTACTCGCCCAGGACGAACGACAGGGGACTCGTAGCCCATCATGGGCGCCAACCCGTGCTCAAGGCGCGAGCACGTCAAAAGACCCCAGACGCCAGGCCCCCCGCCTGAGACGCCTGGCTCAACACCCGCGGCACGCCATCCCCGACGACGAAGCTCCCCTTCAGCATCCGTCGTGCGCGCCCCGCTGAGGCGGGTCTCCTGAAAGAGCAGAACGTTGCACCCGTTGATCTGCTCCGTGAGGCACCTGTCCAAGTTGCTGAAGGCGTTCGTGTTGAGCGTCGCCAGCCGCCACCTGCTGCTACCCCAGCTTCTGCTTATTGTCGGCATAGCAGCGGTCGCGGAAAGCCTCGAGCCACTTCCTCTTGTCGGCGTCGCCGTCGCAGAAGGCCTCGACCTGCGCCGCGAAGGCCTCAGGGGGCAGGTTGAGGCTCTCCATGTCTTCGTCGTCATCGCCAGCAGCCTTGTGCTCGCCTCCCAGAACTGCTTCATGAGCCGCTGCCCCAGGCTGAGCACCTGCCGCAGGGGAAGGCGCAGCGGCGGCTGGCGGGGCGCCCGACGCCTCGCAAGCGGCCACATCCTGCTGGAGCGCGGCGAGGAGCGACTTGAGCGGGCCAGCCAGCTCGCCAAGCTCGACTCCGCCGAGGGCGCCCGAGACGGTGCCCACCAAGTCCCTGCACTTGGTGACGTCGGCGACGTAGCGGTCCTCGGCGCGCGGCGAAGCAGCAGCAGGCGGCTCGGCCATGACCCGCCTGGCCTTCCCGACGAGCTCATCCATCTCCACCTGCAGCTTGGCGACCAGCTTCTCCTGTTCGAAGGCCGCCTGCAGCGCAGCCTGGGCCGCCAGCTTCTTGCGCTCCAGCTCGCTGCGGGCTCGCAGAAAGCGCTTGGGGGCCTCGTCAGCCGCAACCTGCGCACTCCTGACAGGTTTGACCGCCGACAGCGAGCCCAGCTGCTGCTGGAGGAAGAAACGTTGCTGGCGGATGGCCTGCCAGTCCGCCTCCGCGATGAGCCCCTTGCAGGCGTCGAGCTGCTCGACGGGGCAGGCCGCGAAGTAGGCGGGCTTCTCGTCAGTGAGCCGCTTCGGCTTGGGAGGCTGCACTCCTTTGCCGCCTCCAGCCGCCTGCTCGGCGTGGCGCCGCGGAGCCTTGGGCGGTCCTTCGGCCCAGCGACCGAGACGAGGCCAGCCGCCATCGCCAGCATCACGAGGCCGAGGAGCACCACTGGACGTCGGGCGGTACGCGCAGCAGTCTGGCTGCCGACACTGCATCCTCCACCCGAAGTTCTTGTAGCAGCACGAGGGGCAGCGCCAGCCAGAGCCCGCCTGGGATCCGCCAGGAGCGCCGCCGCCACCACCGCGCGGGTTGCCGCCGCGAGGAAGGGGCGCCATGCCGCCCACGCGCGTGCCGCTGCACAGACAATCACTTGAAAATCGCTCGGCCTCAAAGCGCGAACCCCCTCGCGCTCAGAAGCCGCCCTTTGGGGCTCGCGGTCGTCGGGGCGGTTCATAGCCTTGGGCCATAATGGCCACGGACGACGACGACGACGACGAGGAGGAGGAGGAGGGATACTACGGGAAGGAGGACGAGGACGAGGAGGAGGAGGAGGAGGAGGAGGGGGAGGAGGAGACGGAGGAGGATCGGGGAGCAAGAAGAGGAGGAGGAGGAGGGAGGAAAAGGAAGAGGAAAAGGAGGAGGAGGAGGTGGAGGAGGAGGGGAAGGAGGAGGAGGAGGAGGAGGAGGAGGAGAGAGAGGAGAAGAGGAGGAGGAGGAGGAAGAGGAGCAGGGGGGGGAGGAGGAGGACGACGAGGAGGAGGAGGCGTAGGAGGAGGAGGAGGAGGAGGAGGGGAGAGGGAGGGGGAGGGGGGGGGGAAGGGGGGAAAGAAGAGGAGGAGGGGGAGGAGGAGGAGGTGGAGGAGGAGGAAGAGGGCGAAGAGGAGAAGGAGGAGGAGAGGAGGAGGAGGCGGAGGAGGAGGAGGAGAAGGAGGAAGGAGGATGGGGGAGGAGGAGGGAGAGGAGGAGGAGGAGGGGGGGATGAAGGGGGAGGGGAAGATGAGGAGCAGGACGAGGCGGAGGGAAGAGGAGGAGGAGGAGGGGCGGAGGAAGAGGAGGAGGAGGAGGAAGAGGAGGAGAAGGAGGAGGAGGATAATGAGGAGGAGGAACGAGAGGAGGAGGAGGGGAGGAGGAGGAGGAGGAGGGGGGAGAAAGGGGAGGGGGAGGAGGGGGGGGGGGGGGAGGAGGAGAGAAGGAGGAGGAGGAGGAGGACGGGGAGGAGGAGGGGGGGGAGGAGGAGGAGGAGGAGGAGGAGGAGGGCGGGGAGGAAGAGGATGGGGAGGGGGAGGGGAGGAGGAGGAGGAGGAGGAGGAGGAGGAGGAGGAGGAGGAGGAGGGGGAGGACTATGCTGGATTATGCTAGCCTGATCTCCGCAGCTGCGAGGCACGCACCACGGCGGCTTTGAAAGCTCCCCCTGCCCCGGGCCGTCCCTGGGCGATAAAGTTCGACTTTGGTCAAGACGGCTTGCCCGTGGTGGGGCGTCGACCATCCCACAGACGGCTCAAACGCCCAGCCATTGTTCGGGGGGTCCCCTCGACGCTGCTCGACAGCAAACCAGCCCATCTGTCCTGGGCGCACCTGGCACATCGGCGACATAAGCCTGTGCCCCTGGGCGCGGGCGCGTTCGATCCTACCTCCGCCCCCCCCTGCCCAACGCGGTGGGGCGGGGCGCCGGGGGGCGGTGGGCGGGGGGGCTCCACGGCCCCCCCTTTCACCCCCGCCAGGCCGGGGTCCAGGGGGGTTGGGCGGGCGCGAGCCCCGCTCGACCGGACTCGAACCCTCGGAGGTGTCAACGAGCCCTCTGCCTAACACTCCTACGTAGGCTGCGAACTCCAGCACATCCGTAACGAGTTTGAATCGCTGTATGCATGCAGCTCGGTGCCATTCAGGGTGCTGCTGCAGTCGAGCTCCTAGCTTGGCATACTCGAGGCCCATCTCGTTTCGTTGGGCTCTCGTGGCATGCACTTTTAACTCTCTCGAAACTGACCCCTCGCGGCCCCAGGCCACCGGCTTCAGCGATCAAGGCCCAGCAGCGCGCCCGCGCGTCTCTGCGTGGCGCGCAGCCCACGAGGGCCCTCTCAGAAACCCGTCGATGACCGACGGGCAGTCGGAGACGATGATGATGGGCGGGCAAGCCGCCTCCAGCCGCGGGCCATCAGCTCGCTCAGAAAAAAAGATTGCTGCCACTGCGGCCACGGCAGGGGCCCGCAGCATGCGTACTTCGAGGACATGTCCTCGTTCAGCTGCGCGAATGGCCAACCTCCGCGTCGTAGGGCAGCGTACTTGCCGTACAACAGGCTGCCATCGGAAAGCACTCGGCCCGCGGCGAAACCCGCGAAGTCGCCCTCGACGCGAATGGTGTCGACGACGGCGATGCCCCGCAGGCCGAGCTCCACCGCGGGGTCGTTGGCCAGCCCACGGCCCCAGAGCTGCTCGGACTCTGGTCATGGTCTGGCTCCTCGCTGCACGACGTGGGCGCCGCCCGCGCGCCGGCGCTCCTCCTGCCGCGCCGCGCAGACGAAGGTGCGGTGTCTGTCCGTGCCCTCGCCCTGGCTGCGCGCCTTGCAGATGGCGTCGGGCGCCGCCCCTCTGCCATGCAGCCGCGCCCGCGGCCGCGCGCCCCCGCGCCAGGGCCTCCTCGCGCGCGCCTGGCCGCCGCAGGAGCGCCCTCGCAGGCTCAGCGAAGATCGACTGCACGTTGAACTCGCCCCCCCACTCGGCCGACCACGCGCCCTTGAGGCCCTGCTCGGTGGCGGCGCGGACGCAGCGATGCAGCTCGTGGAGGGGGATCGCCCTCATGTTGATGATGTTGGTGCCGATGGCAATCGAATGCGCCGCCTGGGTCATCCAGCCGAACCTCTTGACCGTCACAACGAAGGCCCCTGCTGGGACTCTCACCTGCTGCCACGGGGCCTTCGCAAGACCCACTCGGAAGACCCGCCGCTTCCGTGCGGCTTGGGGCCTCGGCGCGAGACTCGGGTCGCCCTCTGCTTCTTGAAAGGTCTGCGCCCGCGCCCGGATCGGGGACGCGTTGGCCAGAATGCCTGGGTCTTAGTCGTCGGCCAGCAGCGTCGGGCACATGGGCCGCCACTTCGCATTGCCAGCCATGGCGGTCGCCGCGCTCTGCCGCAGCTCGCCCAGCTTGGTGTCGGCCACACCCGTGACATTGACGCCGTAGAGCAGCGACGGCACCTTGGCGTGCTTGATCACCTTGCGTGCCGGTCCCCCGGCTCGCAGGGCCCTCGCGATCCGATCCCGTCTGGCGGCGAACTTGGCTGCCCTCTTGCTGAAAGCCCCCGCTCGCCGGCATCTGCCCGCGGCCGTCGTCGCGCCGAGGTGCTTCTCCTCCTTCGCCATCCTCGCGCCGCGGGTGCGGATGCGCTTGCCGAGCTCCGCGTTCAAGGCCGAGGTCGAAGCCGGGGCGACCGTCTTGCCCCCCTCGCCCCGGGAGACCCGCATGTCCAGGACCACCTCGAACATGTTGATCAGCGTCTGCACAAGCTGGGAATGCCAGCGCTGCGCAAACTCCCTGAGGCCGCGCGTCGCCATCGCCAGGTCGTCGAAGAACAGGCAGGCGCCCGCCCATGGGAGGGCCTCGACGACCCCGTCCAGCTCCATGTATAGGACCATCTTGAGGCAGAGAAGCGCGAACCTGCTTCCTGCCACAATGCCCCTGGCCCAGCGCCGCCCACGCGTGTAGCACCCGTCGAGGGCGATGCGCCTCACCATCGCGTAGATCCTGGGGACGACCTTCAGGATGAGGCGGTTGTAGCCCCACCGCGAGCCCGCCTTCCAGACCAGCTCGTGGGTCAGGTACCCGAAGCACTTGACCAAGTCGAATTGCGTCGCGGCGTACTCCAGCCCCTCCGCGACGGTCGCCTCGCAGAAAGAGCGCCTGGGCCCAGGCCGCGGGCTCGCTTGAGCGGCCCCTGGCAGCCCAGTCATAAGCCCGTCTGTTCGCCTCCTCCCAGCGCCTGGCGCAAGGGAGCCGGATGGTCTCCCGCAACCTCGCCAGCTCTGGGATCAAGCCGAGGTTCCTGTAGCCTCCTGACGGCTTCGCGAGCAGGTAGCAGGATTGTGGATTGAGGCTCGGGCCATGGCGACCCTGCCTCCACCGCGTTGAGCACGCTTGCCACGCGCGCTGCCCCCTGGACGCCCCCCTGCTTCCAGAGTCGCGGATGCCAGCCCGCCTCTCCGAGGCCCGTCTTGGCGAGGAACTTGTCACTGGCGTCCAGCACTTCCTTGGGCGTGATGGGTGGCGCCCTGTACTTCTCCCCCTCGAGCGCTGCGGGGGGCTGGCGCCATGGCGCAGTCGGGTCGTGCTCGTCGCCCCAGATCGCCTCCCAGCCCGCGAGCGAGTGGTCAGCGGCCCCCTGGGGGTGCGCGAGCGCGTGCTCGCTGATGTTCTTGTTCTGTGGTGGCGCAGTCGGCTGCCGCGGCATGTGCGGCTTGGTCCACTTGTGCATGGCCCCCGCGCCTGCTGCTCCGTGGTCGCGTAGCCGCCTCCTTCGGCCTGCGGCTGACGCGCGATGCACCGGCCCCCAGCTCCTCCGACTAGCCACGTCCAGGAGGGTCGCGACGCATTCGATGTATTGCAGCTCCTGAGCCGTCACCCTGTCGACGTCGATGCTGCCCGCCGCGTTCACGATGGCGGGCCACTGCGCTGCGCCCCAGGTGAGCTGCCCCTCGGCGCCCGGCTGCCCCCCCCCGCGGGGTGGCGCTCCAGCCGCGAGGCGGCTCTGTACCACTTCCGCCTCCTCGCAGGGGAGGTCGGGGAGGGGCGTGCCCTCGCCCTCCGACGCCAGCGACGCCGCCTCGTCTTCCCACGCGGTGCCCTTTTCACTTTGCGAGCCAACTGCAATTTAAAGGGCACCGCCGCGGCGCGGCGCCCCCGGCAGGGTCGTCTCCAGCGACCCCGGCAGCTGCCTCTTCGGTGGCGGGCTGCAGGCCTCCCAAGGGGCCCCCTGGCGGGGCCGCCGCGAGGGCCTACGGGGCCGCCCTCGTCAGCGGCATGGCGATCTCGTGGGCCAGCATGGTGTCGGCCACGTGGATTGCCTGCCGCCTCGTCTCGTCTGCCTCGCTGGTCCACCAGCGCGCCACGAAGTTTGTCAGTTGCCTGAGCCGTCGTGACAGCCACTCGGCTGCCTCTGCCCAGGCCTGCTCCCTGGGCGCCTCCTTCAGCCCCGGCGCCTCCATGTACTTTCACTTGAAAATGGCCTGCTCGTAGTGCCCCTGCCGCCGCGTCAACTCCTCCCCCTCGAAGTTGTGGAAGCGGTTGGGGTGCTCCTCGTAGGCCACGCCCAGCGCCCGTGGCTGCGCCCTCCGTGCCTCGGCAGAGGGCGAGGCCATTGCGTTGGGGGCGTCGCGCACCCCATGGGTAACTCCAGCGGCCACCGCTGCGGCTTCTGGAGCACGTAGACAATCCGGTCGTCCCTGCGCTGCCTCGCGAGCCGAACCACAACGGGGGAGTGCGGCGACGCGTTGTAGCCGTTCTGCACCGTCGCCTCCAGCGGCCCGAGGACCAGGCTCTTCGAGACGATGAAGTAGTCTCTGTCGTACTGCTGCCCGAACATCGCACAGGGGCCCTGCTGCCTGTCGTGCACGATGATCCCGTTCATCCTGCAGAGCAGCCCCGGGTCCCTGATGACGTGCGGGCCCATGTTGAAGTCGCCCCCGAGCACCCACTGGTAGCCAGTGGCGTTGACGACGCTCGCCCACTTTGCAAGGATCAACTCGTTCCTGCGCGCGAGGCCCCCGCTGGTCCAAACGTAAGCCGACCCGAAGAGCAGGCCTCCCTTGCACACTCCATCTAGCCATGCTACGGCTAGTCTTCCCCTCGAGGCTGGCGGTGAGATGTCCCAGCTGCTGATACCTCTCCGTGCGAAATCCATGCCCTGGCGGCGCCGCGTGGCCACCAAGACTCCCGCACTCCAGCCTCCCTCCTTTTTGACGCTCGGCATAATGCCAAGCCTCCAGCCCAGCTTCTCCATGCGCCCGACGAACAAGTTAATCCTGTGCTCGTCGGCCTGCAGCTCCTGCGACATGATGGCGGGCGTCTGCACCAAGTAGCCCACCTGCATCATGACCCGCTCCAACGTGCCCAGGGAACTCGCGTTGATGGTGATGAATTCCTGGTAGCCGCGTGCGTCGTCAGGAGCACGACGGCTTCGTCCACTGCAGCTTGGAGATGGTGATGCACGTCCCGGCGAACATGCCAGCAAGCAGAGCAACCATTGGAGGAGCGTGCACGTCCATGTGTTCGGGCGTGACGCCGCCGTCCAGCATGATCTTGAGAACCGCCTGCTCGCCGGAACCCGCGGGGAACTCGAGCAAGTCCTCCTTGGCGATGGTGTCGGCTGCTGCGCGCAGCTTGGCGCGGCCTCCCTGGGAGACGGCGGCCTTGCTTGCCTCCTCCTCCTCCTCCTCCTCCTCCTCCTCCTCCTCCTCCTCCTCCTCCTCCTTGGCTCGCAGACGGCCGGCTTCCTCGGCGGCCTTGCGGGCCTGTTCGGCCTGGGCAGCCTTCTCGTCCTCAAGCTTCTTCTGCGGCCGCGCGTGCTCCAGCGCCTCTTGCAGCTTGACGTCGCTGTGTCCCTGGCTGCCTCCTCCACCCCCAGTGTGCTTGAGGCGCTTGGCAGTCTGTTCCAGGAAGGCCACCGCTGCGTCCCAGCCCGTGCCCGGGCTCGGTACCGAGAACTCCTCGATCTTCGTGTTGAGTTTCTGCAGTGTGTCCTCGTGACGCTGTAAAACTGCAGGAGGAGGAGGAGGAGGAGGAGGAGGAGGAGGAGGAGAGGAGGAGGGGGAGGGGGAGGAGGAGGAGGAGGAGGAGGAGGAGGAGGAGGAGGAGGAGGAGGAGGAAAGGAGGAGGGGGAGGAGGATACGGAGGAGAAGGAGGAGGAGGAGGAGGAGGAGGGGGGAGGGAGGGGAGGGGAGGAGGAGAAGGAGGGGGAGGAGGAGGAGGAAAAGGAGGAGGAGGAGGAGACGGAAAAGGAGGAGAAAAGGAGGAGGAGAGGAGGAGCTGAAGGATGGGGAGGAGGAGGAGGAGGGAGAGGAGGAGGAGGAGGAGGAGGAGGAGGAGGAAGGAGGAGGAGGAGAAGGAGGAGGAGGAAGAGGAGGAGGGGGAGGGGGGGAGGAGGAGGAGGAGGAGGAGGAGGAGGAGGAGGAGGAGGAGGAGGAGAAGGAGGAGGGAGGAGGAGGAGGAGGAGGGAGACGGAAAAGGAGGAGGAGAAGGATGAGGATGGAGGAGGAGGAGGAGGAGGAGGAGGGGGAGGAACTGGAGGATGGGGGAGGAGGAGGAGGAGGAGGAGGAGGAGGAGGAGGAGGAGGAGGAGGAGGAGGAGGAGGAGGAGAGGAGGAGGAGGAGGAGGAGGAGGAGGAGGAGGGGAGGAAGAGGAGAAGGAGGAGGAGGAGGAAGAGGAGGAGGAGGGGGAGGGGGAGGAGGAGGAGGAGGAGGAGGAGGAGGAGGAGGAGGAGGAGGAGGAGGAGGAGGATTTTTTTGACACCAACGCCACGCCTCCAAAACCTTGGACTGACCAAGGAAACGAGCCAGCAGCGGAGGGGGATGCTGGCACCTTGACCAAGGCAAACACCTGGGTCACCGCGCAAAGAAAACAGCACGACGAGAGGTCGAGAGGACCACTGCGTCCAAGTGCCCAAGCTCAACGCGCACCTGCCACAACATCTCCACGAGAGGGGGCAGGCGCACTGGGCCACAGGAGGGCACAGAGCTGACAGCGCAAAAAACAACCAACTGCATAGCACTGCAACTGGAAGGCTCTCTCGTGCCGACTGCCCTCGGCTGAACAAGAGGGACAGCGAACAAGACAGCGCCCCTCCCACGCGCCAGTGGCACCATGCGGTGGGGGGCAAGACGGAGGGGCGTGCAACGAACGCACACACGAAGACGCGCACCCGACGCCTAACAAAAAGATGTTGGGGCCAGGAACCAAAGCTCCAGGCCGCAGCAACATCAGACGAGCCACAGTCAGGATAAAGATACCCCCGTGCTCGGAGACGCAGAGCGCACCCTAGGTGCACATGCACCTTCCCCCAGGAATGGGGTGCCTGACACGCGTGCACGACGGACGCACGCACAACGAACCCTGCACCACATCCCGGCCGTGAACAGCACCGAGAGAAGGACCACCAGGAACATGAACACGGACGCGACGACGATCACCCCGCGCCACGGCCGATCGCCGCCGCAAGCGCCATCAGCGCCCGCCGCCGCTCGGCGCCCTCCGCGTCGACCATGCCGCGGCCGTCGGGAGGGGCAGCAGCTGCAGCCCCAGCGCTAGCAGCTCCACCAGGAACCGCCACAGCAGGGCGCGCCGCCACCGCGGCGGGCGCCGCATGGCGCGCTGGGAGGCCGTCAGCGGCGGCAGCACCAGCTCCGTGGAGGGGGCCGCAACGCTGAACAGGGAGCTCGTCGGCCCAGCTGTCGTCAACCAGGGGCGAGGACGGAGCCGCGTGGCCCTCGTCCTGCGAGCCCCCTCGCACAGCCGCCAGCGCCAACGGAGCGGGAGCAGCCCTCCCCAGCTCAGCTCCCGACGCCTCCACCTTCTCGACCTCAATCGCGTCGTCGCCTCCGCGCTCGGCATGTCCAGCAAGGCCGCCAGCACCGCCCCGCCCACGCCGCCGTCGGCGCCGCCGAGGGCGGCCCGCAGGCTGGGCGGCGTCGGGCGCAGGCGGGGGCAGCGCCTCAGGCGCGCCGAGCACGGCCGTCGGTGGAGGAGGAGGAGGAGGAGGAGGGGGAGGAGGGGACATACACGAGTGGGGGAATAAGGGTGCCCTCGTCGGGCCCTGGAGGCCCCCTTTTCGGCAGCCCTCGCTGCCCCTCCCTATCGCCCCCACATTGCGCCCCCCTCCCCCCCGCGCTGATTATCGGGGGCACGCCAGGGGGAAGTGATGACACACACACACACACACAAACACACACACACACACACGCAGAACACACACACATACACATGCACACCATAGACATACACGCACACATTTACATGCACGTGCGCATTCACATACACATGCACATACACATGCACATGCACATACACATATCCATACCCGTACACATGCACACATACACATACACACATACACATGCACACATAGACATACACATACCTTTATACACACATATACGCATACACGCATACACACATACGCATACACCCATACACACGCACACATACACACATACATGTACACATGCACACATGCTCACATACACACATACACACGTGCACATACACATACATTAACACATGCTGCCAACTATGCTCGACCCGCCGCCCGATGACCTGGCCAGAGCCATGAAGCTGTAACGCGTCTGGCTGTCGAAAATGCCTCCGGTATATTAATACCGTAGCGCGACGGGTGATACTCGCCAGGCGTACTACGCTGAACTAAGCGTTAGCAACCTGATGCTGTCCTGGAGGCGCGCCGATAAGTGGACCCGCGACACGATGTCCAGCTTCCTCAAGTGTTTGCCAACAGCAACTTCTCGAAGACGGCACCGCTCCACGGATGCGCGTCAAATTCTGCATGGAAGCTGTGGCGGCGGACGAAAGAGCGGAGAGCAATGCTGCGTAGCGATCATTTGGAACATGTAGACATATGTAAGTGTAGCTCTGTATACCTGTGCATATGCATATATGTATGTATATGTATATAAACATGCACGAACATCAAGATTTTGGGGCGCCCAGCCCATGTGCAAAGACAGCGGCAACAATGCCGGCATAGAGTTTTTTCTCCCGACGGCTCAACTAACAAAAATACCAACACTCGGATATCTGACTCACTAGGCGAGATAGCGTCAGCGATGACTGCCCATTCCCTGGGGCAAGCTTCCCAGCTTCCCAGCTTCCAAGCTGCATCCAACTGCCGGGAAGGGGGCTCTACAACTGTCCGTCGGCCTCCTGGCCTTCATCGGGAAAACGCAAACACAACTGAGCAGCGTCAGAAGAGGAACTACAAGAGGAGAGGGCAAAAACACCCACAGCCGCCCGCAAACGCTATTTAGCATCACGGCCCCCTCACTCATACTCAAACTCGTACTCGTACTCATACTCACGTTCATACTCATATTCGTACTCAAACTCATACTCATCAACTCAGATTATCACTCGCACTCTCTCCTCAGTGGGCTCGCCTTCCGCGTGGACGATTCCCACCAGCACTCTGGGCGCTGGTGGTCTAGAACGTTTTTTTGTCCACCTCCCTTTCTTCCATTGCCGGGAAAGGGTTTATCACTGTTCCCTGTTAGTAAACACCCCCCCCGCCAGGCGACTGGTAGCCAACCAGGGTCCATGAGGGCACCCCCCCACCATCCCTTGAAACAAAAATCATGCAAAACACACTCCGCCTGCAAATCCGGAGCATGAGCAGCCAACCCGATGCGGCCTCCCCCCACCATGCGGCGGCGCGGCGGCGGCGGCGGCGGGCGGCGGCGGCGGCGGAGGCGGCGGCGGCGGATTGGCCCCCGGTAGCTGGCCATCCAAAAACGACTGCTGCACATGCTGCGGCTAGGGCCAAGCTCGGGTGCTACGTATGTGTTGGGATGGCGGGTGGGAGTGAGCGAAACGGCTTGCGGGCGGGGAGGGCGTCTTGACCCCTCCCCCTACCCCCTCCCCTGGACCCGGACGGGTCGCCCCGCGAGCGGTCAGGGCGTCCAGGATGGCCCAAGATGGCCCCAAGAGGCCGTCAGAGAGCCCTAGATGAGCTTCAAGATGGCTCAAGATGCCTCGGGATGGCGCCCAAGATGCTCCAAGACGCCCCAGGACTGCTCCAAAACGGCTCTAAGATGTCAAAAGAGCTCCCCAAGGATGTCCCCGAGAAGTCAGTTTTCTTCAAAAACCATTGGGCAATCAATGCGGTTTGCCTGATAGCTCCAAGATGGCCCAAGAGAGCCCTAGGAGGGGCCCGAGGGAGCCCCAAGACGGCCCCAAGAGCGCCCAAAAACGCTCCAAGAGCGCCCCAAGAACGCTGAAAAAGGCGACTTGGGGGGCTCCCGAAGGGAGAGGCTAATTAAGGGAGCCCCCTTCTTTGATCGATGTCCTCCAAGATGGTCCCAAGAGCGCTCCTAAGGCTCCAAAGAGCGCCCCAGGAGGCGCCAGGCAAGCCCCAACAGGCGCCCATGAGGCCTCCAAGGAGGCCCCCAAGAAACCCCCAAGAGTCCCCGAAGCACCCAAGACGCTCTAAGAGGCGCCCGGGACCTCCAAGAAACCCCAAGACGCTCCAAGAGGCCTCCACTGGGTGACCCTTCCTCTGCGTGCTGCCCACTTCCCTGATCGAGGCAATTCCTCGGGGCATCGTTTCTGGATGGGCTGGTGGGGTTACTTTTGGGTCTACGGGCTCGCGAGCAAGTCGAAAGCCGTCCGAATACAAGCCGTTTCGCGAATAGGCAGCAAGAGAAAAAAAAGGGGCAAGCGAAGCAAGCGCGCGGGCAGCCACTCAGAAGGAGGACCAGGAACGGCACTCAAAACCCGGTGGCGTGGCTGGTGGGTGTATTTTCGGGACGCAGGCGGCAGGTGTAAACTCGCAGCCGCAAGCGAAAACGCAGGCGGCATCAAACGGAACGGGCGGGCCGCGCGCGAACCTAATTGCCTAACGCGCCAGTAAACAGAGGCCTAGGCGGCACCTCAAATCACCGGAAGCGGGAGGTAGTGCGGGCTGCAGCTGCCAGGAACCAGGTCCAGGAGCGAGCACACGCAACTTAGCCAACCGATGTTGGGGCGCAGTCAAAATGGCGCGGGAGCGATACCAGGATAAGGCCAGGAGCGCCATCGACGGGTTAGCGGGTGGGGTTACGCGAAGCATCTAGAATTTAGCTGTTAGTATCAGGCCTCGTGAGTACGGACCCCGCTTGGAAATTGAAGCTCGTTGAACAACTCGCAAACAGCCTGCCACTTTGGAAGGTAATCGGCGCAGAAGCTTGACGCAGGAAGCCTGCGAACAAAATGTGAGCCGCGCGCGCGCTCAAAGTGCGAAGGTAACCAACAACGAATCAATCAACACTGGCCTGCTCGCTGCGCCTGGCAAGTAACATCCCTTACTTGTCGGAGGCAATTGCTCTGCGGGCCGGCTCGGGCTTCAAAAGCGCCTCCAAGCACGCCAGTGCTATGCCGTCGAGTGAGTTATTACCCATCTCCGCGAGGGACTCGCCACGGCGCCGCTGGACGGACAGCGGCGTCTGAGGTAGAAGCTTGACGCAGGAAGCCTGCGCACAAAATGCAAGCTACATGCACTCCTGCACGCGCGCCGCCCAAAGTGCAAAGGTAAACAACAACGATCCAATCAACACTGGCCTGCTCGCTGCGCCCAGTAGATCCCATCCCTATCATGTCGGAGGTAATTGCTCTGCGGGCCGGCTCGGGCTTCAACAACGCCTCCCAGCACGCCAGTGTTACGCCGTCGAGAGAGTTACTGCGCGTCATCATCATCGCCTCGATGCGGCAACCAGCATGGGAGAAAAGCTGGGGCACTTGCAGCGCGGAGTGTGCGAGGGACTCGCCACGGCGCCGATGGGCCGACAGCGGCGTCTGAGGTAGAAGCTTGGCGCAGGAAGTCTGCGCACAAACTGTGGGCCACATGCACTCCTGCGCGCGCGTCCAAAGTGCAAAGGCAAACAACAACGAATCAATCAACACTGGCCTGCTCGCTGCGCCCAGATGATCACATCCCTACCGTGTCGGAAGCAATTGCTCTGCGGGCCGGCTCGGGCTTCAACAGCGCCTCCCAGCGCGCCAGTGTTACGCCGTCGAGAGAGTTATTGCGCGCGATCATCATCGCCTCGATGCGGCATCCAGCACACGAGAAAAGCTGGAGTTCTTGCCGCGCGGAGTATGCGAGGGACTCGCCACTGAGCCGCTGGGCCGACAGCGGCGTCTGAGGTTGAAAACTTGACGCGGGCAGCCTGCGCGCATAATGTGAGCTACATGCACTCCTGCACGCGCGCCCAAAGTGCAAAGGTAAACAACAACAAGTCAATCAACGCTATAAGCACGCCAGCGTTACGCCGACGAGTGAGATATTGCCCATCTTCGTCATTGACTCGATGTGGCAACCAGTGCGGAATAAAAGCTGGAGTACTTGCCGCGCGGCGTATGCGAGGGGCTCGCCTCGGCGCCGCTGGACCGACAGCGGCGTCTGAGGTAGAAACTTGACGCAGGAAGCCTGCGCGCAAACTGTGAGCTGCATGCGCTCCTGCACGCGCGCCCAAAGTGCAAAGGTATACCACAACGAATCAATCAAAACTGGTCTGCTCGCTGCGCCCAGTTGATAGCTTCCCCATCATGTCGGGGGCACTTGCCCTGCGGGCTGGCTCGGGATTCAACGACGCCTCCAAGCACGCCAGTGTTATGCCGTCGAGTGAGGTATTGCCCATCTTCGCCATCGCCTCGGTGTGGCAACCAGCATGGGAGAAAAACTGGAGTACATGCCGCGCGGAGTATGCGAGGGACTCGCCACTGCGCCACTGGACTGACAACTTTAGGGAACCCTGCCCGCAAACGGTCCCCAGGAAAAACACTCCAAGACTCCAACAATCAGCTGGCTTAGGCAAGCACGGCTCGTCCAGCGCCACATCTGGAGCCACGCGCGGCAGAGATCCGCGCAGGGTCCCCCTTGCGCTGGAGTTTGGAACGTGGGCTGCCATGCTGGAATCAGCAAGGCGGCAGATGTGCCCATTCCATGCTGTCTCTACAGCCACGTGGCTCCAAGGTACTTGCCCATGGACGACGTCCTGGGCGTGGCAGTAAGACAGAGCACTGGCGATCAGGGCACTGCCATCCAAGGCGTCGCCCCTGGACAAACGGCGCCCAGGTTGGGTCGACAACACCTGCTCCGCGCAAACGTCTCCACCATAATGGAGAACCAAATGCACGCTACGCTGGCCGTGCAACATGCCTGCGCAACGGATGGCGCGTGGGTGGTCGAGCGTGTGCATCAATAAACATAATTTCTGGTACGTGCTCTCCACCTGCTTGGCATCGGTGACGCTGCGCTTGTCGTGCACTCTGATCACTGCGTTTTCATGCTGCCCGTTCGCTGCCAACGACGCGCGCTGGTGATCCGAATGCGGGCGGACGAGCTGGAAAACCCCAACCCGACTCCCACGTCCCAGAAGACGCTCGTCCAGGAAGGGGGGAAGTGGAGATTAGGGCATAGGAAAATAAAATCGAGGAAGGGGAAATCGGGCCGTGTAGCGCGCCAAACGCCCCCCCCCCCCCCCCCCCCCCCCTTCTTCCACGCAAGCTCCGGCGCCTGCGTCGGGCCATCCGGCGCGGTGAGCCGCCCCTCCTGCTCCGGTTCCCGTGCGAGGGCGCGCGCAATTCAAACGGTTTCCCTTCCCCTCCCCTTCCTCGTTCTCCTCCACTCCCCCGCGCTGGTGCCCTGGTGCGCCCAGTCTACCTGTGGCTGCGGGGTGCCCTGCTTCTTGCGGCGCTCCTGGAACGGCACGGCCGCGGCGTTTTGCGACGCCTGGCCGCGCGAAAACCCCGTCCAGCACGTGCTCACCTTCGACCCCGTGGCTCGAAAAGGCGCCGCGGACTGCAACAAAGATCGCAAACTCAGCCGAGGGGGCCCTCGGCGTTCGGACGGGGGGCAGGAGCAAGGCAGGAAAAGGGGGGGGGGGGGAGGGGGGAGGTTGGAGGATGGGGGAAGAGAAGGATGCGACGCCTCCTGCGTCGCACGGCCGCGGAGGGCAGGCGCTGGAGGCCGCGCCTGTTCTTCGCCGGGGGCCGCGCCTCCTCGTTTGTGCCGGCGCCGCCGCAACGTCCGTGCCCGCCGCAGCCGTCTCCGAAACTCGGCTCTCCAATATCCGTGAACCCCTGTGTTTCTTTCGCTTGCACAGAGGATTCGCAAGATGCTGTTGTTGCTCTCGCTCGCGCACCCCCTCCCCTCGAGCACCTGCTCGGCGTGCACGGCGGCAAAGGCAGCGGGGGAAGCAAAGGGGGCAGCAAAAGGAAAACCGAAGGGCCCGCCTCCAGCGAAGAGCCCGCCTCCAGCGAAGGCACCTGCAGGACGCGGCGCGGCTGGGGGGCCGAAGGGCCCGCCTCCAGCGAAGGGGCCTGGTGGAGACGGCGCAACTGGGGGCGCGGAGGGGCCGCCCCCGAAAGCCGAGAAGAGCTCGCCCCCCCGCCGCCCGATTCCCCGGCGAACGCGCAAACCACGTTCCTCATGAACCACCTCCGGCACAACGCGAAGGGTGGCAATGCCACGAACGAACGCGGGAAGGCGCGCGGCCTTGCCCCTGCAACTTCCAAGCAACTCGGCGACCAGAAGCAGAAGGAGTTCTACGACGCGCTTATGACCGAGAAGGGCGAGAAAGACGCCGAGATGCTGAACGGCCTGACGCATTCCTTCGCAGCCGCGCATGAGTCCTCGAAAAAAGATTCGAAAAAAAAACAGCTGACAGAAATGGGTCACAGTCGCGCAGCTGATGCAGGAGTTCGGGCTCAACCTGGGGAACTTTCCCGACGCGCCGACGGGATGCGATTGGGCTCGCAACAAGTGGCGCAAGAACGCGGAGAAACACAAAACGGCAGAATCCCACCCGCCCCAGATGGACACGGAAGAAATCATCCATTCATTATAGTTTTACGTCTCCGACGATGGTCTGCAGAGCGCAGCCGAGGAGAGGGCGGGAGAGCAGTGGGCATCACACGAAGACTATGGGAAGACAAACGAGGGCGCGCTGGAGGACATGGCTCGGGGACCCGCGTCTGCGGGGCAGGGGGGCGGCGACGTGAAGATCGAAAACAAAGAGTACCGCGACATGGCCGAAAAGAAAGCAGCGCTCAGGATGGGAACTCAAATTATTCCTGCAACTTCCAGACATTGCCCCAGCCTCCCCCTCCCCCCCCTCTCAGATTCCCCCTCTTTCCCTCCTATCCCCCCGCGCCGCCGCGGGCAGAAGGCGGTCGCCCTGCAGAGGCAGCAGAAGGGCATGAAGGAGTTGACGCTGAGTTTCGACGCCAAGGCGAAGAGAGACGATGATGCCAAGTGGCGCACCAACGGCGACGAGATCAGGGCCGCGCACAAAGCGCTGATCGACTTCCTGGGCGCTGCAGAGCACTTGCTGGCCGAGGCGGCACGCGCCCCCGAGGGCGAACCCGGCGACGAGATGATCAGGAAGACGAGGCATGCGTTGGCAGACCAGGTCGCGCTCGCAGAGAAACGCTAAGAGGGCGGCAAGATCAGCGCGAAGCGTTGGAAGGGCGTGATGTGATCGGCCCGCGGGGGAGGGGAATGGAGGGAGGCGCGGGGGGGAAGAGAGAGGGGGGGGGGGGGGGCGAGGGGGGGGGGATGGAGGGGGGGCCGAGGGAGTCCGGGAGCGGGGGGAGGGGGGGGGGAAACGAGCGAGCAGCCACGGGGGGGCGCCCCCGCCAGCGCACAAAAAATAACTGCCTGCGACTGCGGCGGGCCGACGAAGAAGGAGCGCGGCGAAGCTAGGGGGCAGGGCGCCTCGCGTGTCTGGCGGGGGGTGTCGCAGCTCATGGGAACGCGTGGAGGCGAGTTCTCCCGCTGGCGAGTGGGAGGGGCAGGGGGGCGCTGCCTCCTGCGAAGCGCACGCTCGAAGTTCGAAGTTCGGAATTCGAACTTCGAACTTCGAAGTTCGAAGTTTGAAGTTGGATCCCCCCCCGCCCCCTCCTGCTTCGGATGCCGCCTTCGCCCGAAGCCGTTTCAGGCGCGAGGCGCCAGGCGGGCCGCGGGGCGGGCGCGCCGCCATGTTCTCGAGGCGCCAGCCGGCGGCGGGCGCCAGCGCACCGCCGCCTGCGAAGCACTTGCGCGCCACTTGCAGACGCACACGATGAGGAATACTCTGTCCTACGGCGACGTACAAAGGCTCGCCGGCACGCCGGGGAAGGCGGGGCCGCGGGCGCTGAGGACCCGAGGGCGGGACGTGCCAACGCGTCCAGGACCTCAAGGAGGAAGTTTCTCCAAAGAACGTCGTGGCCGGAAGGGGCGCGCGGCAAAGGTCCGCGCGAGGAACGCCGAGCGTCATCGAGAAGAGACGAAGGAAGTGCCCCTCTTGCTACCGCACGAGGTGCTCCTGGCGCTGGGGAGGCACGGCGACCCGGGCGTGCCGCTTCATATGCAGGGGCTGGAAGAGGGCGACCGCGCGCGCATGCAGGGCGTGGAAGCGAAGCTGGGCAGCCCCGCGGTGGCCATCGGCCTGCGGCAGGACGGGGCCCCCACCAAGTGGGGCAGATCTGCGTCGGTCGAAGTCCGCGGCATGACCTTGCCTGGCCTTGGCCCCGACGGACCCTGCAGCAACTTGAGAATCCCATGAATCCCATTGTTCAGCATTTTGAAGAGCCACTTGTCCACGAACACCTGGCGCGACATCCTCGGCATCGTACAGTGGAGTTTTCTGCATTTGTGGAGAGGCTTCTGCCCGCGAGAGCGGCGCGACAAGGCGCCGTTCTCGCGCCCCTCGGATAAAGCTCAATAAGCGTGGGCCGACCGCAGGGCCCTCGAGGGCCCCCCCCTGCCAGCCCGCGGTGCCCCGGTGCAGTTTCGCGCGGATTGGAAAGCGCGGGGGGGAGTTTGTTCTTTCCCCGCCTGGAACGAGGGCTCTGGGTGCTGCTGGAAATGCAACGCCCCCCCGGGGGGGGCGACTGGCCCCGCGCAAACACGGGGGGGGGGGGGGAAGAGGAGGGGGGGGGAGGAGGAGCAGGAGGAGGGCTTCTTGGTTACACATTCCTTTGTTACTGTGTTCCCTGCTCCCCCCCCGCTCTCCTTTGCGCGCCCCCCAGGCGGGGGCGCAGACGTCGACGAGTTCTCGGTGGGCGAGGCCAACGAGCAGGCGCTCGCTGCAGGACGTGATCGCCATCATCCTGCGCAACGGAGGCCGCGTCTCGCCTGCGCTGAATATCCCTGACATCGCGATCGACGTGTTCAAGGTCGACTGGTTGCGCGCCGTGGACCACGGGGTCGGGGCGGACGTCGCGGGGGCTTTGCTCTGGCACGTCATGAAGAAGCCCCCAGGGCGCCGCCGCGCGCAACAGAGCGACGAGATGTGGAGGCTCATCCAGGCGCGCTACGACGCGCACTCGGCGCCCGACCGCCTCCACGACTTCAACGAGCGCACGGCGAAGCCCAAGAAAGCGTACCCGAAGTCCCGCGGCCAGGCGGCCATCCTGAGGCATCTGAACCCATTATGCAAGGAAGCGGCCGAGACGTATTGCGCTTCTGGGAGTGCCGTGGACGACGCCGCGCTGAACGCCACGCGCCACTTGCACTTCTGCTACCACACGTTGAGCGGCCAGCGCATCTTCAAACAGGATCTGATGCGCGACTCCGCCAGCAGGCTCGTGACCTTGTTTGTCTCTTTTGCTGCGCTGCAGCCGAGGAATTGGCGCGTCAAGCCGAAGGCGCACCTGCTCCTCGAGATGGCCTTCGCGGGAGGGCAGCCGTCGCTGTGCTGGACCTAGTTACAGGGACGAGGACTTCGGGGGCAGCGTGGGCCACGTGGCGAAGAGTCGCGGCTCCCCGCTCTCAGCGACGGGTTTCTCCCGAGCGGCGATCGCGCGCCACCGCATGCAGCCGATGGTGCGGCTGGTGTGATTGCCGCGCGCGCGGACAGAAAAAGTGCACGCGCCACAACGCTGCAGAGGAGCGGCGCCTCCTGCTCCACCGGGGCGCACGCGCCCTCTTCAGGAGGTCGCACCTCCTTTTTCGAATGTTATACCGTGTTGGAACATGCGTCGACGCTGATCGTCGCTAAAATTTAGCGTCGACGCTACATTTCAAGGATGATAACTTTAAGGCCGACTACTAAATAAGTAGCTGCAAGCATAGATGGATCTACATGGGAATGGCCTTTTTTCGGCGCCGCCTCGGGACTAGATTTTCCGGCGGCGGCCGGAACCGGCTCCGGACCCGGCCCGAGCGCCGGCCCGGGCGCACGGAAATGAGGCCAGCGCTGCAGCGGGAGCACGATTCGGAACGAGCCGGGCCCGAAAATGAGGCCGGCGCCTCAGCGAGAGCAGCATTTTGGAAAAGTGCAAGCGAATATGCATATACACACATACACATACACATACATTAACACATGTTGCCAACTATGCTCGACCCGCCGCCCGATGACCTGGCCAGAGCCATGAAGCTGTAACGCGTCAGGTTGTCGAAAATGCCTCCGGTATATTAAGACCGTAGCGCGACGGGTGATACTCACCAGGCGTATTACGCTGAACTAACCGTTAGCAACATGATGCTGTCCTGGAGGCGCGCCGATAAGTGGACCCGCGACACGATGTCCAGCGGCCTCAAGTGTTTGCCAACCGCAACTTCTCGAAGACGGCACCGCTCCACGGATGCGCGTCAAATTCTGCATGGAAGCTGTGGCGGCGGACGAAAGAGCGGAGAGCAATGCTGCGTAGCGATCATTTGGAACATGTAGACATTTGTAAGTGTACCTTTGCATACCTGTGCATATGCATACATGTACGTGTGTATAAACATGCACGAACATCAAGATTTTGGGGCGCCCAGCCCATGCACAAAGACAGCGGCAACAATGCCGGCATAGAGTTTTTTCTCCCGGCGGTTCAACAATCAAAATTACCAACACTCGGATATCTGACTCACTAGACGAGATTGCGTCAGCGAATGACTGCCCAATCCCTGGGGCAAGCTCCCCAACTTGCCAGCTGCATCCAACTGCTGGGAAGGTGGTTCTACAACTGTCCGTCGGCCTCCTGGCCTTCATCGGGAAAACGCAAACACATCTGAGCAGCGTCATAAGAGGGTCTACAAGAGGAGAGGGCAAAAACACCCACAGCCGCCCGCAACCGCTATTTAGCATCACGGCCCCCTTCACTCATACTCAAACTCGTACTCGTACTCATACTCACGTTCATACTCATATTCGTACTCAAACTCACACTCATCAACTCAGATTATCACTCGCACTCTCTCCTCAGTGGGCTCGCCTTCCGCGTGGACGATTCCCACCAACACTCTGGGCGCTGGTGGTCTGGAGCCTTTTTTTGTCCACCTCCCTTTCTTCCATTGCCGGGAAAGGGATTATCAGTGCTCCCTGTTAGTAAACACCCCCTCTGCCAGGCGACTGGTAGCCAACCCGGGTCCATGAGGGCACCCCCCCACCATCCCTTGAAACAGAAGTCATTCAAAACACACTCCGCTTGCAAATCCGGAGCATGCGCAGCCAACCCGATGCGGCCTCCCCCCACCATCCGTGTCAACAAAAAGAATATAGAAAACACTTGGCGGCGGCGGCGACGGCTGCGGCGGCTGCGGCTGCGGCGGCGACGGCTGCGGTGGCTGCGGCGGCGGCGGCGGCGGGCGGTGGCAGCGGCGGCGGCGGGGGCGGGGGCGGCGGCGGCGGCGTAGTGGCGGCGGTGGCGGTGGCGGCGGCAGCGGCGGCGGTGGCGGTGGCGGCATCGACTGCGGCGGCAGCGGCTGCGGCGGCAACGATTTGGCAGCGCGGGGGGGCGGCGGCGGCGGCGGCGGCCGGCGTGGCGGCGGCGGCGTCGGCGGCGGCCGCGGCGGCGGCGCGGCGGCGGCGGCGGCGGGCAACGGCGGCGGCGGCGGCGGCAGCGGCGGCGGCGGACAGCGGCGGCGGCAACGATTTGGCAGCGGGGGCGGCGGCGGCGGCGGCGGCGGCGGATGGGCCCCCAATAGATGCACATCCAAAAACGACTGCTGAATATGCTGAGGCTCGGGCCAAATTCGGGTGCTACGGATGTGTTGGGAGGGCGGGTGGGAATGAGCGAAACGGCTTGCGGGCGGGGGGGGAGTCTTGATCACTGTTCCGTATTATTATACACCCCCTCCCCCAGGCGACTAGGAGCCAACCCGGGTCCATGAGGGCCCCCCACCATCCCTTGCAACAAACACTACTAAACACAGCCTGTTCCCACCATCCCTTGAAACCAGACAATACAAAGTACACTCTGTCTCCAAATTCGGAGCACGCGGGGCGAACCCGATGCGGCCTCCCCCACCATCCCCGTCAAAAAACAAAACAGAATACACTTGGCGGCGGCGGCGGCGGCGGCTGCAGCGGCTGCGGCTGGGGCAGCGGCTGCGGCGGCTGCGGCGGTGGCGGCGGCGCGGCGGCGGCGGCGGCGGCGGCGGCGGCGGCGGTGGGGGCGGCGGCGGCGGCGGCGGCGGCGGGGGCAGCGGTGGCGGCAGCGACTGCGGCGGCAGCGGCTGCGGCGATTTGGCAGCGGGGGCGGCGGCGGCGGACAGCGGCGGCGGCGGCGGCCCGGCGGCGGCGGCGGCGGCGGGCGGCGGCGGCGGCGGCGGCGGATTGGCCCCCGGTAGCTGGCCATCCAAAAACGACTGCTGCACATGCTGCGGCTAGGGCCAGGCTCGGGTGCTACGTATGTGTTGGGATGGCGGGTGGGAGTGAGCGAAACGGCTTGCGGGCGGGGAGGGCGTCTTGACTCCTCCCCCTACCCCCTCCCCTGGACCCGGACGGGTCGCCCCGCGAGCGGTCAGGGCGTCCAGGATGGCCCAAGATGGCCCCAAGAGGCCGTCAGAGAGCCCTAGATGAGCTTCAGGATGGTTCAAGATGCCTCGGGATGGCGCCCAAGATGCTCCAATACGCCCCAGGACTGCTCCAAAACGGCTCTAAGATGTCAAAAGAGCTCCCCAAGGATGTCCCCGAGAGGTCCGTTTTCTTTTTTTTTATTTAAAAAAAAAAAAAAACACTGGGCAATCAATGCGTTTTGCCTTATAACTCCAAGATGGCCCAAGAGAGCCCTAAGAGGGGCCCAAGGGAGCCCCAAGACGGCCCCAAGAGCGCCCAAAAACGCTCGAAGAGCGCCCCAAGAACGCTGAAAAAGGCGACTTGGGGGGCTCCCGAAGGGAGAGGCTAATTAAGGGAGCCCCCTTTTTTGATCGATGTCCTCCAAGATGGCCCCAAGAACGCTCCCAAGGCTCCAAAGAGCGCTTCAATAAGGCCCCAGGAGGCGCCCATCAAGCCCCAACAGGCGCCCATGAGGCCTCCAAGGAGGCCCCCAAGAAACCCCCAAGAGCCCCCGAGGCACCCAAGACGCTCTAAGAGGCGCCCGGGACCTCCAAGAAACCCCAAGACGCTCCAACAGGCCTCCACTGGGTGACCCTTCCTCTGCGTGCTGCCCACTTCCCTGATCGAGGCAATTCCTCTGGGCATCGTTTCTGGATGGGCAGGTGGGGTTACTTTTGGGTCTAAGCCGAAAGCCGTCTGGATACAAGGCGGACCGCGACTAGGCAGCAAGAAAAAAGAGGGGCAAGCGAAGCAAGCGCGCGGGCAGCCACTCAGAAGGAGGACCAGGAACGGCACTCAAAACCCGGTGGCGTGGCTGGTGGGTGTATCTTTTTGTCGCAGCCGCAAGCGAAAACGCAGGCGGCGTCAAACGGAACGTGCGGGCCGCGCGCGAACCTAATTGCCTAACGCGCCAGTAAACAGAGGCCTAGGCGGCACCTCAGATCACCGGAAGCGGGAGGTGGTGCGAGCTGCAGCTGCCAGGAACCAGGTCCAGGAGCGAGCACACGCAACTTAGCCAACCGATGTTGGGGCGCAGTCAAAATGGCGCGGGAGCGATAACAGGATAAGGCCAGGAGCGCCATCGACGGGTTAGCTGGTGGGGTTACGCGAAGCATCTAGAATTTAGCTGTTAGTATCAGGCCTCGTGAGTACTGACCCCGCTTGGAAATTGAAACTTGCTGAACAAATCGCAAACAGCCTGCCACTTTGGAAAGTAATCGGCGCAGAAGCTTGACGCAGGAAACCTGCGAACAAAATGTGAGCCGCGCGCGCGCTCAAAGTGCGAAGGTAACCAACATGGAATCAATCAACACTGGCCTGCTCGCTGCGCCTGGCAAGTAACATCCCTTACTTGTCGGAGGCAATTGCTCTGCGGGCCGGCTCGGACTTCAACAACGCCTCCAAGCACGCCAGTGCTATGCCGTCGAGAGAGTTATTGCGCGTGATCATCATCGCCGCGCGGAGTATGCGAGGGACTCGCCACTGAGCCGCTGGACCGACAGCGGCGTCTGAGGTTGAAGCTTGACGCAGGAAGCCTGCGCACAAACTGTGAGCTACATGCACTCCTGCACGCGCGCCCAAAATGCAAAGGTAAACAACAACGAATCAATCAACACTGGCCTGCTCGCTGCGCCCAGAAGATCACATCCCTATCATGTCGGAGGCAATTGCTCTGCGGGCCGGCTCGGGCTTCAACAACGCCTCCAAGCACGCCAGTGTTACGCCGTCGAGAGAGTTATTGCGCGTGATCATCATCGCCGCGCGGAGTATGCGAGGGACTCGCCACTGAGCCGCTGGACCGACAGCGGCGTCTGAGGTTGAAAACTTGACGTAGGAAGCCTGCGCACATAAAGTGAGCTACATGCACTCCTGCACGCGCGCCCAAAGTGCAAAGGTAAACAACAACGAATCAATCAACACTATAAGCACGCCAGTGTTACGCCGACGAGTGAGATATTACCCATCTTCGTCATTGACTCGATGTGGCAACCAGTACGGAAGAAAAGCTGGAGTACTTGCCGCGCGGCGTATGCGAAGGACTCGCCACGGCGCCGATGGACCGACAGCGGCGTCTGAGGTAGAAGCTTGACGCAGGAAGCCTGCGCACAAACTGTGAGCTACATGCACTCCTGCACGCGCGCCCAAAGTGCAAAGGTAAACAACAACGAATTAATCAAAACCGGTCTGCTCGGTGCGCCCAGTTGATAGCATCCCCATCATGTCGGAGGCACTTGCTCTGCGGGCCGGCTCGGGCTTCAACAACGCCTCCAAGCACGCCAGTGTTATGCCGTCGAGTGAGTTATTACCCATCTTCGTCATCGCCTCGGTGTGGCAACCAGCATGGGAGAAAAACTGGAGTACTTGCCGCGCGGAGTATGCGAGGGACTCGCCACTGCGCCACTGGACTGACAACTTGAGGGAACCCTGCCCGCAAGCGGTCTCCAGGAGAAGCACTCCAAGACTCCAACAATCAGCTGGCTTAGGCAAGTACGGCTCGTTCAGCGCCACCTCTGGAGCCACGCACGGCAGAGATCCGCACAGGGTCTCCCTTGCGCTGGAGTTTGGAACGTGGGCTGCCATGCTGAAATCAACAAGGCGGCAGATGTGCCCATTCCATGCTGTCTCTACAGCCACGTGGCTCAAAGACACTTGCCCATGGACGACGTCCTGGGCGTGGCAGTAGGACAGAGCACTGGCGATCTGGGTACTGCAATCCAAGGCGTCGTCCCTGGACAAACGGTACCCAGGTTGGGTCGACAACAACTGCTCCATGCACACGTCTCCACCATACTGGAGAACCAAATGCACACGACGCTGGCTGTGCAACATGCCTACGCAACGGATGACGTGTGGGTGGTCGAGCGTGTGCATCAATAAACAGAATTCCTGGTATATGCTCTCCACCTGCTTGGCATCGGTGACGCTGCGCTTGTCGTACACTTTGATCACTACGTTTTCATGCTGCCCGGTCACTGCCAACCACACGTGCTGGTGATCCGAATACGGGCGGACGAGCTGGAAATCCCCAACCCGACTCCCACATTCCAGAAGACGCTCGTCCAGAGGCGCGAAATCGGGAATCAGCAGATCTGGGATGTCATTCCAAAGCAAATTACAGAACTCGTCCTCCATGTCGTTGAGCTGCATGGCAGAGGGCACTCCCTGGGTCAAAGTGCTGATATGTTCCCGCACGCGCAGCTGGATAACGGCGTTCTCTTGGAGCTCCAAACTTATCCTATGTTGCAGCCCCCCCGGGTCACCTGCCAGCTCCATCAGCACGCCATCCGCCCCAAAGCTGTAGAGCCTGTCATGCCGCATCATCAAGTTACTAAGGTCGGCCTTGGTCAGCTCGGGATCCAACCGATCTGGAAGCTGCACCAGGAAGACGACCGCGTCGGGATGCGCCGCCCTGAGATAGTTCAGAAGGCCTGTCACGTTCCTCTTCTCTTTCCTCGTCCTGTATACGGATACGATCAACATGACCTCGTGCTGCTCCACTATCTGGGCGATGCGTTCCAACTCCGACTCTCCAACTCCGACTCTCCATCTTGCGATGGGAGATGCGAACACGTTGACTGGCTTCTCCTGCGAGCTCCACGGCACCAGGGTCCAGAAGCCAAATGCCGGCGTGCTTGGTGCGACACTGATGAGATATGCCTCCACAACCCTCTGGGTCGCACTGAGTGTTGCCATGATGTATAAGCTATGCGACTGGCAATCAAGACATTGGTTGAAGCGGCACCTCGAACAAAATATCTTCTCGAGCCAAAACGGCTAGGGGTTCTGTCTTGGCGCCCCCTTGAGATGTCTTGGGGCTCTCTTGGGCGCCTTTCGTGCCGTCTGCGAGCGTCGGGCAGAGGAGCAGGGGACCACACCAAATCCTTGAAAAACCCAAGTGAAATCCACGATTTTCGCCCCTGGGGCCCCTCGGGGAGCACCTCGAAGCTTTCCTGGGGCGTCTTGGAAGCCACGTGCCCGTCGAGGGAGGGAGGGGGGAGGCGGGCGGAGCGACCGCATCTCGACAGGCCGCCGCCCCCTGGAGCCCCATGCAGCAGGCCCGCAGAGGGGCGGCAGCGGAGGCCCCGACGTCGTCGTCGTCGTTATCGTTGTCGTCGTCGCCGTTGGGAGCCGGCGAGCGACGATCGCTGGGTCTGTATGGTGGCGGGTCGACAAATCTTCTTCCCTCGCGCGATGCGGCGAGGCCGCTCCGTGAAGGCCTTTTTTTCGCTTGCGCATGAGAAATGATCTGTGTCATGTACCAAATGATGCGGAAAGACCGCTCCGTGTGCAAGGGCCATTGCGTTAACTTTGAAGGGAGGGCATGGGGGCTTCGCCTTATCCGCCAAACGTGCCGCGGCCGGCTGGGCTCTGGCCCGGCCGAACCAATGTTCGAAGCAATGGTCGGCGTGCTGGGAGAGTTTGTGTGCTTTCTGGCCCCCTTGAGGGCCTTTATTGGTGGCCTCTGGGCTCCCTTGAGAGCCTTGTTGGCGGGTCCAAGGTCCAGGCTAGTTTGGCCCCCCGTGCCACACTGGGGCAGCGGTCTGGCCCTCTCCCTTAGGGCCTACTCATACATATATATATATATATATATATATACTAGAACCACGCGCGCGCTTCGCGCGCGCTTAGGTTCTAGCTAGGATCGTCACCGTCGTCATCATGAACATCACCATCGCTATCATCTCCCCCGCCAGGGCTAATGTACATCGTTTCTGGATGCTTCTGGCCGGAATACGAAAGGAATTTCTGTAGTTAGAGTCTCTGGGGGAAGTCGCGGGGAAGCTTTTGTTGTCTTTGGTGTTGCGTCGCCAGGAGGTCTGGGCTCCCTCCTCCTCGTGTTCCTACCTCCTCTCTGGACGTCCGATGTCGTGATGCTTTCTGTGCGCGGCCCCTGGACCTCTCGACGACTTCCTGGGGATGTGTTTTTTTTTTCATCCTGAGTCGTTTTCTGACGGTCCCGGGACCCTGCGAGGGGCCCCGGAGGCCGAAAATTGACCGAAACCGCCGTCGTGATTTTTCCAAGACGTCGGAGGTCCAGGTCGTGCTTCCCGCCTCCCCAGACCTCCGACGTCGTAATTTTTGCGACCTCGGGCCCAGGAATCGATTGGGAAAACGCACATGGGAAGGCAAGAAATGATGGACCCATCATTTCGTACCTGTGCCTTGATCAGTGGGACGGGCTTCGCACCGCCGCACATCACACGACACGCTCGAGCGGATCCAGCCGTGGCGACGTCGGGGACTGCAGAAGGTCGCAAGGACACGGAATCTGAAAGGAAGAAAGAGAAAGAGAGAGAAAGAGAGGGAGAGAGAGAGACAGACAGACAGAGAGCGAAGGAGAGAGAGAGAGAGAGAGTGAGATGGAGAGAGAGAGAGAGAGAAGAAGACAGAGAGAGAGAGAGAGCAGAGAGAGGAAATGGAGAGGAGGCGAGCTTGAGTCAACGAAAGTCGCAGGGAAGGGGGCAGGGGGAAGAAGGCCAGAGAGCGCTGAAGGATACAAATACTGGAACCCTCTTGGGATTTTTTTGGGGGCCTCGTCCGGCCGCTCGCTGGGAGTTTGACGTAGCTTCTTGGGAGCCTCTGAACCTGTCGGGGGCCTCCTGGAAGCAGGTTCGAAGCATTGTGGGGGCCGATTTGGGGCTTCTCGGGGCCTCCTTTGGGCCTCTTGGGGGTCTCCTGGGGCCTCTTGAGGGGCCTCCTGGGGGCCTCCTGGCGGCCTCTTGGGGCGGAAGGCTCGAGCTTGCGGTTCGTGGTCCCCCTCTGGGCCCCCTCTTGGGCCCGTCTTGGGGCCCTCTTGGGCCATCTTGGGCGCCTCTTGGGCCGTCTTGGGGCCCTCTTGGGCTGTCCTGGGGCCCTCTTGGAAGCTTCTTGGGCCGTCTTGGGGCGGTCTTGGGCGCCTCTTGGGCCGTCCTGTAACGTCGGAAAGCCCAAAAGACAACTTTGTTGAAAATGTACGTTTTACGAAGGGAATGGGCCAATTTTTGCGTCTAGGGGCCCTCTTGGGACGCATGTTGGAGGCTTCTTGGGGCCTCTTGGGGGCGTCCTTGGACGTCTGGAGGCCATCTTCAGCATCTCGGAGCCCTCTTGGAGGCCTCTTGGAAGTTTTCTTGGGCCGTCTTGGGCTTGGGGCCGTCTTGTCTTGACCGGGGAGGCCTCCGGCAAGCCCCGACGAGCCTCCGGGCCCCCCGGGGCCCACATTTGTGGTCGAGGTCCCGGCCCCGGGCCCCCGGACCCGGTGCGCCGTTATATGTGTATATATATATATATATATATATATAAAAAAATATAAATATATATATATATATATATATATATATATACATAGATGCACATACATAGAGACTGGAACCATCGAGCGCGCTTCGCGCGCGCTCAGGTTCTAGCTGGTCGAGTGCTGGCCGCATTGAGACAACAAGGCGGTCATGAATAGTGAAGACAACATTATCTGGTTCCTCCTGCCTCTTCCTCATTTCTCCTCTTCCGCACTCATCGACCGGTCATATGTCGCCAAACTATGGGCCAAAAAATATGCAACGCTACAACGCCATGTTGCACTATGATACGGAATGCCATGCTACATCATGCTACGCTACAAAGCGCAATGTCACAATGCAACATGCAATGGAATAACATTACATACTCTACAATCTGCATTGCATGCCATGCCATGATGTGCTGTGAAATTATATGATGACATGTTCGATGGTACGCTGAGCCACATCATGATATATTTCTTACGCAGAGCAATGCTACCGCGTTACATGGTCTGCACAGACACGGCACGCCGCATTGCAATGCAATGCAATGCAATGCTATGCCATGCTATGAGCTGCTAGGCTAAACTACAGAGGACGACAGTAAAGACAACAACGGGGGCGTGACATGTGCATGATTTCTCTTTATTGTTGTGCAGAGCAAGTCGGTGCTGTGCGACTATCATATGTGCATTGTAATGCCATATTACGCCACGATGCGTCATGATATGCAATGCCATGCTAGACAACTTTACGTCATGACGTGCAGTGCTAGGCTTAGCTAGACACTGCTATGGAATGCAATGCTAGTGAAAACTGAAATATACTGTGATATGCACTGACATGGTTAGCTCTGTCGTGCTGTGCCGTGCCATGCCATGTCATGCAACGCTGAGATGGCGGGCCTCTTGGGCTCTGTTGGGGGCCTCTTGGGGCGGAAGGCTCGAATTTCGGTTCGTGTTCCCCCTCTGGGGCCCCTCTTCAGGCCATCTTGGGGCCCTCTTGGGCGATCTTGGGCGCCTCTTGGGCCGCCTTGGGGCACTCTTAGGCCATCTTGGGGCCCTATTGCGCCGTCGTGGCGCCCTTTTCGGGTTCCTCTTAGGCCGTCTTGAGCTGACTCCTGGGGCCTCATGCTGCCTTGGACCGTCGGAAGCACGAAACAGCGAGAACACGAACAACCTTCAAGCACAATCGAAAGATCTACTTGTTCCGCCTCCTGAGTGCCTCGTGGAAATCCTTTTGAGGGCAACTTGGCCGTCTTGAAGCCCTCTTGGCCTGTCCTCAAGCCATGTTGGACCAATTTTGAAACGCTCTTGTGCGGTCTTGGGCACTTTTGGAGCGCTCTTGGGCCATCTGCGCCCTCTTGGACGTCTCTCGGCCCCCTTTGCGCCTTCCGCCAGGCCCGACACGGCCAAAAGACAACTGAGTGCACTTTGGGGACCACGGGACCCCCTACACTTTTAGATTTTATATATATATATATATACACATACACACATGCACATACACTTGCACACATGCACATACATACACATGCACACATACACATACACATACACATACAAACATACAAACATACAAGTATGCAGATAAACATGCATACAGCGGGGAAACAACAACGCCACCAACGGAACAACAACACAATGGAAACAAACACACACACACACCAATGGAGACACAAACAGAGCCATATGCATGTGCTTCCTCCGCGGGTGTGCTGGGAGGCCCTCTGGCCTTCTGTAAACCCTCCGAGGGCCCGCAGGAGCTTCTCGCCAGAAGGCTGACGGCCGCCTGGGCCTTCCGAGAGAAACAGCCCCCTCTCCAGGATCGAGGATTGAGGATTGAGGAGGAGGAGGAGGAGGAGGAAGAGGAGGAGGAGGAGGCGGAGAAGGAGGAGGCGGAGGAGGATTGAGGAGGAGGAGGCCTTCCGTCTGGGCCTTCACCCCCCGGGCGCGCCGCCGAGATGAGGTAACGCAGAGCACGCTGAGCACGCCTGCTGCGGTTTCCGAAAACGACGGCCACGGCCCCAGAAGCACGGCGTGGCCGACGACGACCCCAAGAATGACGGCCCCCTCTCCGACCATGCTGCCGACAGCATTGAACACGACGGACACGGCCGTTACTGCAGCGATGAACACGCCCCCAAGCGCCTCTACTACCGCTGCGGTAAGAACGGCTCCGATACGATGAGGGCGACGGGTGCGATGGCTACGGCTCCAAGCCTGACAAGGCCTCTACGGCTCCAAACACAAAAGTATGCCGGCAAGGGCCAACGGCTCCAAACACGGCATGACCGAAGACTACGGTTCCGACGACGACGGTAGCACCTCCAGGTGCGACGACGCATGGACCGCCAACGACTGGCACGACGAGCGCGAAGAAGCAGATCAGCAAGACGCGGCCTGACAAGGAGCGGTGCGTAGAGGCCTCCTAGATGGGGTCCGAGTAGACGGGGTCGGCGGATCTCGCCGCATCGCCGAAACATCGGCGATGCATCGCCGATGCATCGGCGATGCACTGAC